TAGCATGGTTTGCTCTTTGAGGTCATAGTCACAGTTTTACATGCTACTTAGGAAGGAGCTTGGTGTCCTTCACCTCCTGCCGCTGTTTAGGGATGGGGCTCTCTGGTCAAGTTGCCAAGGTTTGAAACTTAGTTTTTAAACCTGAGTTTGTGACGTTAGGCAAATCACTTAACTTCTGAGCTGTTTCTGTATCTGTAAACTAGAGATGTCAATAACAAAACTTGTCTTGAGCGGTTAGACAAGATCACACTGGACAGCCCCATACCTGGCTTGTGGTAAGGAGGTGTTGTTCATCATGCAACGGCCATGAGGACAGCGATCATGGCTGCTACCATTGGGAGCTGAGGTTAGGTAGAAGGTCCTAGATGGTAAGAGGATTCTTTTGGCTATGGGTTCTGAAGCATCTCTTGGGTCGTGGGTACCATGATGGGTGAGAAGTTCATGGCTCGATCCTGAAGGCAGTAAGGATCATAGGTATTGTGTTATATGGTAAAACTGCTTTGAGTGCTGTGATGTCAAACCAATGGAGAAGTGATTAGAAGAATTTATGAGGGGACTCCTGGGAGGGACTTCTGGAAAGCAGAGTGATGAGGTGGAGATGGAGAGATTTTAGGATCCAAGATGGCTAGGAATGTAAAATGCAGACAACCTGGTTTTGAATGGAGCTGATGAGGTCAAAGCTGTGTCTTCCCCATGGAACTGGACCAGAACTTAAAAGGTTCAAGTCCACAACTGGCTCAAAGGCTCCTTATCTCTACAATAAGCAACATCAGAGCACTAGGGGTCTTTTCTTTCAGTATTCCTATCTGTGCCGTGATGGGTCGAAGAGTGATCACCAAGGGATCCACTTCAAGGGTTCTTTCTAAATATCTCACCCAATTTGTAGGGTGTATATTTCCAAGATAGTTCAAAGGGGGTGCAGAGGCTGTTGATGACCACTGAGGAGATATGTGGGTGGAGGAGCCTGAAGATCCAAGTAAACCTACTTATGTAACTGATCCTCTTTTCACTTCAGCTTCTTGAAATAAGATACTTTGATGCAGAGACAACACTTTGGTTATGAGAGCCCAAGATATTTGGGCTTTTTCTAGAGTGAAAAAATTGTGATCTTTTTCCTTTTTTCTATTTCACAGGGTCTCTAGGAATAGTTAACACCATTGAGGTCATCAGTGACTCCACTTTAAAAATGTCCTCTGGACTCCACCTACCCACTATTCTTTTTATAAGTCTGCATTTTCTAGACTGGTCTTACTATGTAGCTTCAGGCCTTCAGCAAAAACTCCCTCTTCATCCCCTACATCCTCTGTCTCCTGTGAGGTCCAGCTCTTTTCTTAAACTACTCGAGGTTTCCTTCCCGAATTGATCAGTTATTCTTCCTTTTCACTGTTGTAGTAAAGGCTATACTACTGGGGTGAAAGTCATCTAGGCTATTTCAACTGTTCCCCCCTGGCCTCCCCACACTTGAGGACAGTGTGGTGTTCCCTGGCCTTCTCCCTCTCATTGGGAAGCAGTACTGAAGGGGCTCAATAGTGCCATCTTGTGGACCAACTGCTTAATTGATGGCTGAATTGGCAAAGGCTGACTTGGGTTTGAATCCATCTCTCCAACAGTGAGCTTGTAAACATCAGCAGAGGTCTTGGGTGTTGGAGTGATGTACACATGCTTTGTGGTTTAATAGCTGGCCTTATCCCAGGATAGACCCATGCCTCCTCTGCCCTCCTCAGTCTGCCTCCGTTCCCCAAATTCCTAGTCTTATTTCTTTTATGAGTTCAACCCTGAAGGTTCTGTGACACTGCAGGACTCTCGAGGACCAAGCGGTGTACAGTGCTGTTTCCAGGAGAAAGATTGCAACTTTCCACACACAAGCCACTAAGCCACCCCCAACCAAGCTTATACTTACTCTGTATCTATTCCATTACTTACACAGCTTCAGGATCCACCAACTCTTTCATTCAACCAGACCACTACCTCAACCATCTCCTCTATGCATTCCAGGGCCTGTGGTGCCTGCATCATGCATGGCTGGCCACCAGCGTCACACTTGAGCTTTTCAGTGGTTGTGTACTTAGTTGGCATGTTGAAGCTTAGGGTCACAGAGTAGATATCACAGGGAGGTGATATCCAAAGGACAAAAGGGAGAAAAGAGGTCTAGATAGAAACAAAGGGACAAGGCCACCCACTGTCAGGGGCCTGCTCTGCTTCAGAATGTCATGGAGGATTTTTATTTTTAATGTGTGACAGTGCCTAGGAAAACTCTTACATGAAGTTTTTTCTTTCTTTCTGCATGGAGAGGTGTGTTCTGGTAAACTTAGACTTCAAGAACTGCTAGGAGCCCCAAGAACAGGAAGAGGAAGTCTCTGGGAGAGTCATGAACAAGGCAAAAAAAAAAGAAAGAAAAGAAAAAGAAAAAGGCAGTGAGGAGCATAGCAGGAGGGTTCCCAGGGTTCCCAGGAGAGTTGTGCACCGACCTGGTGTCTTCTGTCTAACTCTTCTGGCAGACTCAGGCTTCCAGTCTAGATCTCTCTCTTCTTGGAATCACTGAAAAGAGGATTTGGTTTGAATCACTTAATTTCTTTAGTTGAACCAGAAGCTGAATTTAAACCCATAGTTACTAAACCAAGACATTATTATCTGTCTATTCTGTGGCTATCCTGCCAGTGCTCTTTGCTTGTGGGCAGCCAATCCCAAGTAAGAGAATTGCCTGATGTTATGTACATAAATGGGTTACCTTCAGATTCATGGCAGTCCTGCTGTCCCTGAGAAAAGAACCCTGGTGGTTACTCTCACCTACAAGTAAAGGCTGAAGAGGGGTGAAGAGGCTTCAGGCTAGGTTCTGTTTTGTCTCTGACTTTATCTTCCCAAAAGTCTTTTGAGATGGGTCCAGCCCATTTTGATCTTTTCTTCCTGTGAACTTACAGGCTACTGGCAGACCTTAGAGTGTCTTGCTCTCTACACTAGCAGATAGATAGAGGACCATTACTTCCAGTCAGATCTCAACCAAAAGTAATCCAACCTGGGTTCAAATTTCTTCTCTACCACTTCTTGACTGCATTATCTTGAGAAAATTACTTAACCTTTCTGAGCTTTCATCTTCTGCAAGGTGATGACATAGTAGTCCCTATCTCATAGAGCCAAAGTTTATATTAAATAGTAATGTGTGTCAGGCATTCCATTCATTATTGAGCAAGGTTGGGTGTTAGTGTATGTAAAACATTGTATAGATTTTTTTTATTGCTTTCCAATATTAGATCTGTAAATAACTTTCATTTGTTAGTAAAGAAAGGTCAGGGGCTAAGAAAATGTGAAGGCTATCAAGTTCTGGTTTTAGTTCATTTTGTATAATCACCATATGTAACCAAGAGACATTGGGACTTTTCTGGTAGGGTGTCTGTCACCTTATGGCATGTCATTTGTATGGGGAAAAACACTTGAAGTCAATACCACACTGGCTTTAACTTTTTCTCTCCTACCCTCCCCATGGCAGTTGCCAGTTGGGCTGATAAGGAATAAGCTGGGTCTTGTGTATGTGAAAAACAGATAAACTCTGGTGCCTAGTACAGACAGTTTGTCAACTTGGGCCTCTCCTCTGTGAAGCTAAAGAATGGCTTCCTTCTTCCCCACAACTCCCATATCCAGCGTCTCTATGCTATCTCTGCTGACTCACACTAGGATCAAAATCAGACCCTGATCCAAGGCATTTTGTGATTGACCCTTAAGCAGTGAGCAGCCATCTGCCAGGCATAGCACCCACCTTCCCAACCCAGGTGGCCTAGCAGCCAGCTCTGTTTCTCCTGAGTAAGATTTGCCTGCAGCTATTGACATGTAATTTTATTGCCTGCAGTTACTGGCTCTGAGGAGACTAAACTGCCAGAATTCCCCAACCAAATTTATCTTCTTCTTAGGGGGAAACTTTGAAAAATTCATTAATCCTCAAAGTTCAAAGAAGCCTTCATCATCTCTGGAGTACCTCCTTCCAGAGAAAGAGATGGAGCCACAGGATGGCTAAGGTCAGAGGTTAAAGGTGGCACAGGCCCCTGACTCCAGGAGGAGAGTAAACATCTTCTCTTTGGGCACAGTCTTAGGTTCTTAGGGCAGAGAATGGGAAGAGGACAGCAGTAGATCAGGCAGAGTTCACAGAAGGCAGAGGGAACTGCTACCACATAAGACAGCTCATGGTGGAAAATGTGCTCTGGTGAAAATGCCTTTACAGCCACACCACAGGCCACCTCCACCAGGGCTGGGCCTCTCCATCCAGCTGAGGAGGGAGTCCCCAAGGGGGATAAGCTCACACAGAGGGCAGGTCTGGGAAAGAAGAAATGGATTTCAGCATTTGAAACCATGAGGAACAGAAAGTCAACCACTTCCTTTATTCAGTAGGGATGTACTAGCTGCTACCTCCCCACCCCACCACCCCCAGGATCAGCTTCCTGTAGGCACTGCCTGATGAACCTTAGCTAGTGTCCTAGCCCTATAGCTACATCTTTGTAGCTGGGAGAAAAATCAAGCCATCATAATTCACATTGCATTTTTTTTTTTTGGAGTCCACTTGTTGCAGTTTTCTAAAAATTTCCCAGTAATTTACTAAAATTCCACTTGAAGTTCAGCTGGTGTGTCAAATCCTGTGAACAGTTGGCAAGGGTGAATGGCAGAGAGGGAATGGGTGAAGCTGGGGCAACAAGACTCTTAGATGCAAAGAGCCCTCCATGAAGTCACATGGCGGGACATCTCACCCTATATCTGGGCTCATTCACTGCCGTCCATTTTAGAAACCTCTCTGCCACACTAAACACTGTCCATGCATTCTAGGCCAATTGTGCATGTAGTGTTTGTATGTGTGTGTAGTGGGCGCAGACAGGGCAGGCAGCCAAATGTTGGGACAGGTATCTACATCTTTTTACCCTCACCTGGCATCTGGCTTGTCTTTGACCCTGTATCTATGGGGTAGTTCCAGCCACCTTGTTCCTCCCTCTTCACTGACAACAATACTTTCCTTTTTCTAGTCCCCAGTCTTCATAGCCCAAGTTGGCCAGGACCTGGTCTCTCAGACAGAGACGAAGCTCCTTCAGAGGCCTTGCAAGGAACTCTTCTCTGCTTGTGCTCAGTAAGTGTTCTACCCATCAGGCTCCTCCCATCTGGGAGAGTCCTGCCTATTTGAATAGGTCTTGCCTGCTGTGGAATAATGCTATTGTACACTTTTAAGATTTGTCACTTGTATTAGTTTAATAAACTACTGATTGGCCAGTAACCAGGCAGAAAGTATAGGCAGGGAGACCACTAAGAGAATTCTGGAAGGAGGAAAGGAGAGAATCAGTCACCACCCAGTTGCAGAGGAAGCAAGATGATAATGCTTCACTGAGAAAAGGTATCAAGCCATGTGGCTAAACATAGACAAGAATTATGGGTTAATTTAAGTTGTAAGAGCTAATTGATAATAAGCCTGAGCTAATAGGCCAAAGAGTTTGTAATTAATATAGTTTCTGTGTGTTTCTTTGGGACTGAATGGCTGTGGGATCAGGTAGAACAAAAACTTCTGTCTACACTTGCCTACTTGGGCAAACCTGTGCCTACCTGGGCTGACCCTTATCTATCTGGACAGACTCCCACCTATGTAGGCAAATCATGCTTACCTAGGCAGATCCTTATCCTCCTTGAAAGATAGTGTTTTTTCTTCTAGACTAAATCCAAAGCCCGGGTTCTTGGGGACTGTATCCCACTCTGTCTTTTTCCACCTATGAATCCTTGCCCCTTCTCTACCTCAGCAAGTCTGCATCTAGTCTCACTTCAGCTCATGGTCTCTTCAGAGAACTCTTCCTAAGTTGTAATTTAATATAGCTCATCTCTGAGACTGTTGACTTAATATTTGTGATTTACTGTTTTATGTTCCCATTTGCATATTTACGCTATACTCCCTGCCTTATTATAGGACCTGAAACAAATGCTGGCCCATGGCAGGCACACTGTTAGTGCTTGTAAGGTCAATCTGATTAAGCAACCATTTGAAGAACAAACAGGCCTCTGGCCAGGTGTGGAGCATCCATTGCAAGGCTTGGGTTGTTTGCATTCTGAAGGCAGTAACCCACTAGACTCTGTCTAGCTCCTTCAAGGTGTAAATTATAACATGTTCATCTTTTTGTCACTCTGGACTAGGTCTGTCCATGACTACTTGAAGGGAGACCCCTTCCATGAGTACCTGGACAGCATGTACTTCGATCGCTTTCTGCAGTGGAAATGGTTAGAAAGGTGAGTACCATGCACTCATCACATGGAAGTGTGTGAGTGTGAGGGGTAGGGTAGAGTTCATCTGTATGATAATTCATACAGAGATAAGATACCTTCTGTAAACTCCTGGTGATAATCAAATTGACCACTCTCCTTCCATTAATGTTTTGGGTATTCTAGAAATGCTATGGACTTATGAAAGCAAGTATTGACTGGGTTGTGCCCCCATACACATCAACTTATTTATGCTTCTTTGGTTCTCTGTCTTTCTCTATTGTATACTGTGTTCTCTCTCTCTCTCTCTCTCTCTCTCTCTCTCTCTCTCTCTCTTTCTCTCTCTCTCTCTCTCTCTTTTTCTCTTGTTCTGAAGATCAAACCCTGCACCTGCTAAATATATGTTGACTATACCCCCAGTCCCCAGTCTTAGGTTTTTGTGCTACCTTCCCTAAAGGATGAATAGCTTTGAACATAAAACTCTGTGTACTTTTGGCAGTACACTCTCAAAAGGCACTGATTGTAATCTGTGAGGGACTTGCTCAATTGCCCTCCAAAACAGCCACCTCCAGTTTCTAGCCCTGCCAGTGCCTGAGCCCCTGCTCCTTATATTCTGTACTGTTCTCATGTTTTCCTCCCACTACTGAGCAGTGGGGTATCTTTACTCTTTATTTCCCCCCTCACTAATTATAAGTGAGATTGGGCAACTGTCTAGTTTATTTGCTGCCCCAGTCTCTTCAAAGTTCTGTCATGGGTAGCTCTCTCTTGGGCACATATAGCGTGTCTGTTACTAACAAGAAAGCAAAAGTCATGAAAGGGATATGATTTATCTCGTCTCTGACTAGGCCAGTCAATTCTGAGGGGCTAGAAGAAATATTCCAGTCTCATTTTATGACTAACAGAGTTTATACCTGGCTTAAAGCATTCCTGGATAGACTGGGAATGAAAGTGTCCCCTCAGGTCGGAGTCTCTTCCACAGAAGTTTGGTATCCCAGTGGTATGCTCCATACTCAGAGAAGGAAGCTGTATTATTCTCGTGGACTGTACATGTACAGCACTCATGGGCCAAGTCCCTCACAGATAGTTAAAGGCTATGGGCCAGGAGCCATCTCAAGGCCCCAGAGAAGACCCGTCTTCTATGCATACTTCAGAACACTCTTCATGGAAGCAACCTGCTTAAAGCCACTGTTTTTCTATCCTGACCAGTGAGAATGACCTGACCAGGTCTCACCATTGTTCATGGCAGCACTGGGATCCAAGACTTCAACATACAAACCTTGGGGACACAGTTTTACATTCAAACAATGACAGCGCTCACAAGCAAGGCACATCTAGCTATAGGTGTGGTCAGCTTGAAGATCCCCAGAACAGCCCTGTTCTTTATTACAAATAATGACATCCACTACAAAAGCAACTTATGAGAAGCTTTGGTATGGATACGTTTTCCTTCTCATTAAATCCATTTTATTGAAGATGGAAGGCCTAGAAAGTTTGGTGGGTTGGCTCTCGGCTACACAGCAAAGAACTGGCGAAGGCCAGAATCTGAATACGAAGTCTTTCAAGCCCTTGGTTCTCATTCTACCCAGCAGTCCAATTCTAATTGATTCTTGGCTGTGGCCACTGGCTTTCTTTTTATTTATCTGCACTAGCTTCATGAAATGAACATTTTGATTACTACAAAGTTAAGAATATACCCTTTGGAAGGTACTAAGTTCTTAGAGCCAATAAGATAGGATCCTAGATTAGGAATGTCCCACATCACTGATGACACCCCACCTCTCCAATGTTTTCCCCTCAATCATGACATATTTAAACTGTGTTACTGAAATATTAAGGGGAATTTTCCCTCCCAGGGTTAGCCAAGAATTTCCTAGGAAATTGCAGAACAATCATTTTATAGTAGAGGACCTCTGCAATAGTGGTGACTGACTGTTTATTCTCCAGGCATTGTAAACGGTTATGCCAATATAAACTTTTCTGCCCTAATGTTGTGGTTGTTGGAAAGGCTTCTTGCCCTGTATCAGATGGTAGCTCTTAGTAGGCTTCTCTGGACACCTGAGATGCCTTAGTGCTAAGTAGGAGGCCAGGTACTGAGGGTTTCTGTGACATGGTGTCTTGTCAGTCCTCCTCCTCAAATGGACCCAGCTTTTTGACCCAGTTCAGTCTCCTCTAGCCCCTGTCCTGCTCAGAAATTTTATAGGGCATGGAGTGTGTGTGTGTGTGTGTGTGTGTGTGTGTAAGAGAGAGAGAGGGAGAGAGAGAGAGAGAGAGAGAGAGAGAGAGAGAGAGAGAGAGAGAATAGCCCTTGTGCTTCAAGAGGTGGTTTCCCATGTTACATTGATAAGTCCTTGCCAACCAGGACAGGGATAAAAACAAGCGTTTTACCCTGGAGTTCTTGGCATCTATTTGGGAACTAGGACGCTGAAGACAAAAAATGATGGGTATTTTATCACCACCTCTTTGGCCATCCATGGTATTCTAGTGTCCTGGATGGATGGAAATATAGCAAAGCAGTCCCTTTGAAGGAACGTTTAAGAGCTGATGATCACAGAGTACCTGAAACAGACCTATAACCAGCAACATTTGCTCTAAGCAAGGTGCACTCGCTCATGAGTGCCCAGAATAGCAAGTATGGGCACCTGCTGAACAAACTGAGCTCTACAGGTGTAGGGAGATCTGTATGTTCTTATGTGGCCTCTGCCATACACACACACACACACATATGTACACATACATACCATATGAAGCAGAGTTCCCTTTTGGGTATGGCCACAGACTGTAAGTTTGGGAGAGAGCAAAGGGATGTTGTCAGTGGGAGGGTAGCAACTAGGGAGCCTTTGGTTGCCTGGGTCAGACTGAGTTCCTCCAGAGAGAAGTCCTGACTCAACCTGGCTAAGCACTTTGGGCTTATTCTTCCAAACCTTCTCTTTGTCCTTCTCAGAAAGCCAGGGTGGCTCAGCCCCTAGCTGCCCAGGATCCAGAGCCAACGGTCTGAGTCTCTAGTATAGCCTCAGAGGAAGGCATTGCATGTCATTGGCTTGTTCCTTGCCAGCCACCTTATCTGTTTCTTATGGGTCTTAAGTCTTACCTTCAGGATGTCAATGTCAGAATCTTGATATTTTTCAGGCAACCAGTGACCAAAAATACTTTCCGGCAGTACCGAGTGCTGGGCAAAGGGGGCTTTGGAGAGGTGAGTGAAAATCTTCATTAAAGGGTCTGGCCTCTGCTCCCTTTCCTCACTCCTTTTAGATCAGTAGTGCTTTCAGAAGGATCTTCTTGTTCTGCCCTGGCCCTCTGCTAGCAGAGAGGTCTGGTAGCAAGGGGTCTGGCCTGGGTGTGGACATATTTGTGAGAGAGAACGGAGAGTAGTAAGAGCCTTTGCTGCCCTGTGAGGGCAGGTGAAGTGGAGGTTCTTTCCACAACATCAAGTGTGGGCTTCAAGGAAAGGATGGGTCCCCTGGGTTGTGTATGAGGAGGTATGAGGGCACTGAACAACCTTGGCCAATGAGGGGTCCAGGTAATACTGCTAATGTATCTTGTTACAGGAATAGAGATTTAATAATGTTATGTGGTCTTCTCAATATTTGAGGTCAGCCTTGTTTCCATTTTGGAGCCAAGGAAAACTGTTCAGAAAAGACTGGTGACTTAGGCAAGGTCATACTCTTCCCATTTTCTGAATTGTAAAGTTAGGGTTCGTGAAGGTCTTCTTTCACTGTACTTCCAAAACAAGCTCTTTAGCTGGCAGGAAAAAACTCACTTGTACCTGATGTGGGAATCAGAGGTAGCACTTGATGCCTCAGCCAGTCATCTGACTTTATGCTGTGGTCATTTTAGTACCTTCAAGGCCAGGAGCCTTCTCAGGGGAGGAGGCGCCTTAGAGCTAGTTCATGAAGACAGAGTCCAGGCAGTGCTGGGTACAGAGCCAGATGTCCTGAAGTCCAACAACCACAGGTCAAACCTGCTGGCTTTGAACCCACCAGCTCCAGCTCCAGAGACCTGACATCCTGGCCTTGGAGTTGGGTAAACCACTTTAGTATCATATAACCTTAGTGTCTGCTTCTCCTGTAGGTCTGTGCCTGCCAGGTTCGGGCCACAGGAAAAATGTATGCTTGCAAACGCTTAGAGAAGAAGAGGATCAAAAAGAGGAAAGGAGAGTCCATGGCACTCAATGAGAAGCAGATTCTTGAGAAAGTCAACAGCCAGTTTGTGGTGAGTGTTCAGGGCCCAGCCACAGGCCCACTCTTGTGGTGACTGGGACTTCCTTCCCTTGGTCCTCCAATGCAGTGAGTCCCCACTTCTGGGATCCCTGTTCTCCAAGGCCACCTTATAAACTCCTCAGTGAGCAAAACAAGATTACTATTGACCTAGACAAGGATCTCTGGGTTCTATGGATGCTGTTGTCTGGTTTTACTGTGGTGGAGACCATCCTGGTGAAGTTTCTTAGAGAGATGCTATTTTGTGTGTATGCCTCCAGGTCAGTCTAGACAAGACTCTGCCCAAATAATAAATTATCCCTAACTTTAATTAGCTAGACACAACAAAAGCTTATCTTTCAGCCACATAAAGTCCAGTCAGATTGACCTACCCTCTTCACTTACTGATTACCCTAACCAAAGCCAGGAAAGAATGCTGGGGGGGGGTCTCTGTTGGGACCTCTCACTATCCCTGCTTGACTAGTATTCCATGTTTCCACCCACAATCCACTGGTCACAGCTAGTCATCTCAGGATGAGGCAGAAGAGGCTGGGGAGTATGGAGGTATATGGGTATTTGGTGAGCTCTAAATGTTTCTTCCACATGTTATTATAAAAACTAAAATATGTGAGAGGTAAAATTCAAATGGCACAGACAGATATACAATAAATACAAATAACTCCCTCTATGGGTAATCATTCCATGCATACTTTATTCATATATAGGCTTTATTATTTTTTAGCTAACAGGACTGTCCTCTACATATTATGCTATGATAGTTTTTACCCTGAAGTTGACCTTTTTCTCCTCTATCTATACCAACAGCCTAGCCATTCCCTTAAAAAACAAAAAAACAAAACTATACATCTCTGCTTTGGGTTTTTTGTTTTGTTTTTCCTTTTTATTATTATTTTATTTTATTTTAAAAATACCAATTCAAATTCCCACTTTCTTCCTTCCCAGTCCCTTCCCACTCCCTCCACACACCCTCCCCACATCCCATTCCAATCTTAAGAGAGGGCAAGGCACTCTGCCCTGTGGAAAGTCCAAGAACCTCCCCACTACATCCAGGTTGAGCAAGGTATACATTCAAAGAGACTAGGATCCCCAAAAGTCAGTACATGAAGTAGAGACAAATCCCGGTGCCATTGTCATTGGCCCCTCAGTCTGCCCCAACTGTCAACCACATTCAGAGGGACTAGTTTGATCTCATGCTCATTCATTCCCAATCCATTTGGAGTTGGTGAGCTTCCATTAGCTCAGGCACATTGTCTCAGTGGGTGAACCCCTTATGGTCCTGACTTCCTTGCTCGTACTCTCCATCCTTCTGCTCTTCAACTGGACCTTGGGAGCTCAGTCCAGTGCTCCGATATGGGTCTCTGCCTCTGTTTCCATCTGTTGTTGGACGAAGATTCTATGGTGATATTTAAGATAATCGTCAGTTTGACTACAGGGCAAGGCCAGTTCAGGCACCCCCTCTTCTATTGCTTAGGGTCTTAGCTGGGGTCATCCTTGTGGATTCTGGGAATTTTTCTAAGGCCAGGCTTCTTGCTAATCCCCAAATGGCTCCCTCAATTAAGATACCTCTTTCCTTTCTCTCATATCTGTCCTTCTCCATCTCAGCTATTCTTTTCCCTCAAGCTTTTCCCAATATTCCCCTTCCCCCTCCACTTCCCCTTCTTCTCTTCCTTCTAACCCTTGCCCCCTTGCTCCCAAATTTTGTCAGGCAATCTTGTCTGCTTCCAGTTTCCAGGTAGATCTATATATATATTTTTTGGGGTTCACCTTATTACTTAGCTTCTCTAGTATCATGAACTATAGGCTCAATGTCCTTTGTTTATGGCTAGAATCCACTAATGAGTGAGTCCATACCATATTCATATTTTTGGATCTGGGTTATCTCACTCAGGATAGTGTTTTCTACTTTCATCTATTTGTATGCAAAATTCAAGATGTCTTTTTTTTTTTTTACCGCTGAGTACTACTCTAATATGTAGATTTGCCACACTTACTTTATCCATTCTTCCATTGAGGGGCATCTAGGTTGTTTCCAGGTTCTGGCTATTACAACTAATGCTGCTATGAACATAGTTGAACAAATGCTTTTGTAGTATGGTTGGACATCTCTTGGGTATATTCCCAAGAGTGATATTGCTGGATCTTGAGGTAGGTTGACTCTCAATTTTCTGAGAACTGCCACACTGATTTCCAAAGTGTTTGCACAAGTTTGCATTCCCACCAGCAATGAATGACCATTATTCCACATCCTCTCCAGCATAAGCTATCATCACAGACCCCAGCTGTAGCAGGAACACAGACCCAGACATGACCATCAGCAGCAGTTCATTCCCAACATCATTACTGCCCTGGTGGCAGCACAGGCCACCTAGATCAGTATGGACCCAGTAGCAGCAAGGCCCTCGAACACCAGTGTGGTTTCAATGGCTATCCAGACCCTGGGCTTCCGCCTAGCCCTGGACGTCTATGTGAACTTTGGTGTTACTATGTGCCATGAACATCAACACAGAACCTGACTGTGGTAGGACCACGGACCCAGACATAGTTTTTGGTAGCAGCCCAGGACTGGATGTCACTATGGCCTCAATTGGCAATGCAGGCCACCCAAATTTGCATGGTTCCAGGTGGCAGCCCAGACCCCTGGCATCGACATGGCCTTTGATGCTATCAGAAGCCATGGGCATCAGCACAGACCCTGTCTGTGGCATCTTGATGCTGCTCAGTGGAACCCTTATCTGTGACAGGGGTGCTGGTGGGTCCTACTCTGAAAAGCATGGTATGTCTGACAAGCCTGGGCTGGCACATCTTCAAGGTCCATTGGTTTTGATGGCTACACCTTCTTTAAGTGGATTCCATTCACTACCTGTGGCAGAGAGTTCCCACAATAATACTTGGTGTCAACTTTTGTCACTATAACAAAATATCTGAGACATTTAACTAATAAAAAACACTGATTTATTTTAGCTTCCAATTCTGGAGCTTCCTATCCAACATCAAGTAGCCCTGTTGTTGTAGGATTTACACCAAAAACAAAGTAGAATTGAGAGACAAGAGGTCACCAGGTCTCACAGTCCCCTTCTAGGATACCCCCAATGATCTAAGGTCCTCTCCCTTCATCTCCTAGTAGCACCACTGTGGGTCCTGGAGCCTTCCTGGGGCTCACCTGGGCAGGTGCAGAGGGAAGAGGGTCAACTCCAGTCGTTGGTGATAGAACCCAGTGCGCTTGCCACCTCTGCTACCAGACTGTCTCCTTTCCTCAGAAATAACTCCTATTCTTCCTGATGTTTACATCCTATCCTCAGCCTGGCCATCAGTGGCCGATTTCATTTGTACAATTTCCCAAAGTGGAGACAACAGCATAGTGTAAGTTGCCTTAACCCAGCACCACCTGCCTCATTCTCTACATCGTAGGTATCTGGAATCCACCAGATCCACATCTGTTGACGTATCTTTCACAGATTTTTTTGCCAGGTCCTTACTGCTCCAAAGTTTTACTTCCCCTCCTACAGCATAAAGGGCCACTATGCTTTGCTTTTCTGACCAGCCAAATAGGCAACATCCGGTTTTAACAAACCAATGTATGCACATGTTTTTGTAGTTTGGAAGCTCTAAGCCCTTTACTTTGATCCACTTGTCAGAAGATCTGAGCTTGAGTTCTTTCTTTGCTGGCTGTGAGGGAAAGCAGGCAGGGTCAGCGAGGGGAGAACTAGGCACAGGGTATGAGCTGCTTTGTCCCTTCCACTCCCCTCTACCTCCTAGTGTTAATGATCCAAAAGAAGGAAGTATTAGTCAGTGACAGTTGCTGTGACCTTATTATAGTGCTGCTCTTGTGTTCACAGGTCAACCTGGCCTATGCCTATGAGACCAAAGATGCACTGTGCCTGGTCCTGACCATCATGAATGGTGGTGATCTGAAGTTTCACATCTACAACATGGGGAACCCTGGCTTTGAAGAAGAGCGAGCCTTGTTTTACGCAGCTGAGATCCTCTGTGGCCTAGAAGACTTACACCGTGAGAACACTGTCTATAGGTGAGCGGTGCTCCTAGAGTATGGCCCAGGGATGCTCAGTGAATCCTTGAATCAGTCCCAGTAAGATATGGGAAGAGTCACTGTCTGTAACATGAGGGCCGGCTCTTTCGGGGTATCTCTCCTGACCGGTACCCCACAGCTGGCAAGCCCCCAAATCACACAGAGAGTCTGCATTAATTATAAACTGATTGACCCATTAGCTCAGTCTTCTTATTAGCTCTTGTAGCTTATATTAATCCATTATTCTTATCTATGTTAGCCACATGGTTCAATACCTTTCAGCCAGGCAGGTTACATCTTGCTTCTCGGTGATCTGGGCTGGAATGGGAGGAATGGGCTTCCTCCTTCCTAGCATTCCCCTGTTCTCATTGCCCCGCCTCTACTTCCTGTCTGGTTGACCCACCTGTACTTCCTGCCTGGCCAATCAGCGTTTATTTAAAACATGATTGACAGAATACAGACAATTCTCCCGCACCAACTGTCTAAGGGTATCACCTCATTGCCCCGCCTCTACTTCCTGTCTGGTTGACCCACCTATACTTCCTGCCTGGCCAGTCAGTGTTTATTTAAGACATGATTGACAGAATACAGACAATTCTCCTGCACCAACTCTCTAAGGGTATCACATCACCACATGACCTGCCTCACCCAATCTTGAGCCTAGCTAACTTTCACCTCCCCCTATCTTAACATCACAATGGCCTGGACTCTATAGAGCCCATACCAAGATGCTTCTCACAGTGAACAGCACTCATGTTCTCCCCCTAGTGCACAGGATTTTGAAAGACTCCGTTGCCTCTCCTGTACTTTTAAGAAAGATTTTTATTTTTTTTTTAAATTTATGTGTGTTTGTGAGTTTGTCTGTATCAGTGCCTGCTGAGTCCAGAAGGGGCAGTGGCTCCTCTGGAGCTGGGATTACAGGTGATTTTGAACCATCTTGATATGAATGCTGGAAGCCAAACTCTGGTCCTTTTGAAGAGTTTTAAGTACTTTCAACCACTGAGCCATCGCTTCTGTCTCCTTCTGCGTTTTGAGCAAATATTGAATTATTTCCTTATGTGTTCAGAAGAAGGGGCTGATGTTTTGATATTGGCTAGGTGCATTACATTTCTCAAGGGACCCACTGTAATCTAGTTTTTGTAGCAAATTGATTTCTACCATCATGTGTCTTTAAGAAAATCAAACTGTGATAAGCTCCTGAAAGGTAAGGACAGATGATAGGAGCACTACCCTGGGCACTGCCAGCATATGTGATACCGTCAGTCCTCACAGACACCCCAGGCACCCACACGTTCAGTTCATGACTTTACATGGGATTTCTGGGTAAAGATTGTCTTTGGAACCCAAGAGGATTTTAGAAGCAATAAAGAATGTTCCTGAGAGCTCCTGTCCCAAATGATAGCCCCTGCCTGTAATTTTGTTTTGTTTTTTATTATAGTAAGAAGTCAGAAGAGTTACCCTAAGAGCTAAAAGAGCCTCTTTAAGTGCCTTTCACTTAAAAGTGTGGTGGTATATGGAGGACAGACTCTAGAGTCCCAAATTCCCTTCCGCTAGAGCAGGAAAGGCCTAAGGCAGTGAGTGATTCCCAACCTTCCTAATGCTGCGACCTTTTTAATACAGTTGCTCATATTGTAGTGACCCCAATCATAAAATTAGTTTTGTTGCTGCTTCCTAAGTGTAGTTATGCTATTATTATAAATCATAATGTAACATAATGAAAACATAATATATGTTTTCTGATGGTCTTAGTCTACCTCTTATTTCAAAGGGTCATTCTATACCAAGGGGGTCGCAACTCACAGATTGAGAACCACTGACCTAAGATATTCCTCCTTGTTCTACCTGTCCTAGTTTGTCCGTGGATTTGATCCTGTCCCGTGGTTCCTGGCAATCTGTTGTTTCCAACCCATTGCCACTGGTTTCATGAGTTGAGAGTTCTTACCTTTACTTGGAAATGTTAACACATCAAAAGAAACCTATGTAAATAATAAAAGGCAGCAAAGCTGGTCTGTAATAAAGAAGGGTACAAAATACCCATCTCCTTTGGTGAGACTGCCCAGGATTTGGGTATATGAACCACTTCCTTCGAGAACAGTTGCCATCAGTTAAACAAACAAAGCTGGCTGGTGCAGAACTGGAGCCTCCGTCCAGATTCCAGATGTAACAATGAGGTTGCATATCCTACTCTAAGCTACAACTTCACCCAGCTTTCGCTGGGATATCCAGTTTTCTGTCTGTTCCCCTCTCTGGGAAGACAGAAGTTACTCTTTATAAGCAAGATCCTGTCAGTGAATTGAGACATTATGGATAAGATGAAACAGCACCACTAGCAGCTGTGGCTTCTGCCTGAGCTTAATCCTGGGCTTTGACACAGTAGGACTTAGGAGATAAGCCAGCCTCCTGGGATCTCTTCCATAGGCATCTTTCCCCTGACCCATCTTCACCCTACAGCTTTCTTCCTAATGGTAGCACTGGTGCTCTGGTCTTGGTGTCTTCTCTTTGTTTGTTTCTAGGACCTGCTCTGCCTACAGGGTATTCTGTGATATCATGTCTTCCCAGCCCTCCAGGGAGTCTCTGGCCGTACTAGCCAGTGTCTTCTGCCCCATGGACCACCTGTGTGAGGATAGGCACTAGAATTGGCCTTTTCTAACCTCCTAGTTACTCTGTAGGAAAGAGAAGAAGCCAATGGCAAACTTCAGCATTTGTGTTAAATTACTGGGAGAAGAGAAATGATCTGACAATGATCTTGAGCCATAGAGATCAGACTATCTCAACCCAGAGGTGGGAGGCAGACATCTTGTGGCCCCTGGGCCTGTTTGATCAGCTCAGATGCAATGTGTCTTTGCTGCCTGGAATGGCCATGCTCAGATGCCTATTGTTTTCACCCTGCAGAGATCTGAAACCAGAGAATATCCTGCTGGATGATTATGGTAAGTCAGGGACTGGAAGATGGGGGGCCTTTTCCATTACAGTCTGAGGCTAATGTCCCAAGTTACCTAGAGCAAGGGCCTGCAGACATTCTCAGTAATGGAGGGCATTAGACCAGGACCATGGAAAGGGTTGGGGTCCATAGGGCAGAAGATCCCATTACCACTCTTTATTCCTGGGCCTGAGGGAGGATCCTTCTTTGTGAAGTAGTGTAGCTCAGCTGACTGACATCAGAGCCAGTGTCAGCGACAGAGAGTGATGACCAAAAGCAAAGAGGCAAAGATTTGGAGGTTTTGGGTAGTGCTGGGCATCCATGCCACTTGTCCTGCTCCTTGTCCTGTTTGTGAAGCAGAAACATCAGGACTGTAATGGGCACTATGAAGAGGACTGTGTAGTGAGGGTACTACGTGATGGCCCACAGAAAACAGCCTGCTGACTCCAGGTAGCTGTGGATATGTCATTAGCTGTGTACTCTGATTGTACTTGCCCTTGGGTATAAGCATGTGGGTAGTATTCCCTCATACCTACAGAGTAGTTTCTCATGCACCTAACTAGGTTTCCTAGTTCTTCCTGCCACAGAGGGACAGGTGGCATCCAAGTATCCATCTTACATAAAATAGGCTTGAGACTCAGGCCAGCCTGACCATGACAAAGATGCTACCAAGTCTCCTGCATATTCCTGGGATACACAGCCCCCCTCCTCCTTCCCAGTTTGGTGACTTGGAGAGAGAGAGAGCTGTGTGTAGAGAAACAAGGAGCGCAGGATCATCCAAGAGGTCCAGGCCACAGTACATTCTCTGAACTACTCACAATGAAGTCCCACAGGGGCTCTCTTCCCCTTTCCTGTTAGAGACCACAGAGCTGGAGGCCATCTGAGATACTCAGGCCTGACATGCATTTATGGACAAGGGCATGTGCTCCTTCCTGAGTGTGAAATATAACCATGACTCTGCATAGGTAGAGGTAGGCAGTGCTGCCTGGGCCTTGGGGGCCAGTTTGAACTCTGAACTCAGAGTCCAGGCCAGATCTTGCTCTTCTCATTTCTCCATCTCTTTGAAGGGAAAAAAAACCTCCAAAGACCAATCAGGAAGGCAGGGAGTGACTTCTCAAATTGCTTTACAGTTTTTTCCCCTTAAGCAAATTGTTGCAAAATGTCAAGAACTTCATATTTTTCCTGTGAAGCAATCCGAGAGTCAGCCAGAATATTTTAAACTCTGTGACCTCAGCCTTCCAGAAAGCCTGTTGGGACATTAAATGTGATAGGTCAGTCAGTGACCAGCCTTGTCCAAGCATCCTTTTGCATTTTTATTAATGTTTCCCTTATTATGTATAATTTCTACACATCTCACCTACGGTCTCCCAAGGTCACATGGTTACCCTGTAAGAGCAGGCTGAGGTCACATCTAAATTGTGCAGAGGCCTTGTGTGTCTATGTCCTTGACCAGGGTGTTCATGTGACCTTAGGAACCCATTGACCCTGTTGTCCCCAACAGGCCACATTCGGATCTCAGACCTGGGACTGGCTGTGAAGATCCCTGAAGGAGACCTTATTCGTGGCCGTGTAGGCACTGTTGGTTACATGGGTGAGTAATACTTTGTGCCCATCACAACTGAGCCTCCCCGAAGCCATCACTTAAAAGTCCTCTTGTCTCTTTTTGTTTTTCTGTTTAAAAGTATTGTACTGATTTTCCATAGGGATGTTTGGTAGGAGGCCCAATCAGGTGGGGTAGGCCAGTGGGACCCAAGGTGTAACCTAAACTGAGTTCTCTGTAACCCCCTACCACAAGCCAACCTAAGTCTCAAAGACAAGTCATCCTGGGGATTTGGACCAGAACCTGGCACTAGCATTTCTAGGGGAGCTCTTGTTGAAAAAGGACCTACCTAGAAGAGGTATCAGGTAGATATTCTTTGGGGAGATCTCTGAGAAGAATGTGGCCATTAAGAAGAGCTCTGGGACTGCCATAGAAGCAGGTACAAGGGAGCAACCACAGGGGTGGGCAGGCCTGAGCCAGAGACCTCTGTGGGAACAGGCCTGAGCCGGTGACCTCCACAGGATCAGGCCTGAACCAGTGACCTCAGCTGGAGCAGGCCTGAGGCAGTGACCTCCACAGGAACAGGCTTGGGCCAGTAACCTCCCAGAGGTCCAGGCTTGGGCCAGTTACCCCCCTCCCCGCCCTGCTTGAGCAGGCCTGAGGCAATGACCTTCACAGGAACAGATGGGGCAGCTGAGTGAACAGGCCCAAGCCAGAGACCTCTGCAGACTGGGTGGGCATGAATTGGCAACCTCCAAGGGAGCAGGCCTGAGCCAGCAACCTCTGCCAGAGCAGGCCCAAGGCAATGACCTCAGTGGGAGCAGCCCTGAACCAGCAATCTCTGTGGCAGCAGGCCCTAATGATACCTGGGATTGCAGAGCAACCTCCAGGAACACTGAGTGACCTCTGGAGTGACTGGAACTGTGGCCCTGACTGCACCACGAGGGGCATCCATCAGAGCCTTGGATACACTGGCACCTGAAAGATTGATCGTCAGAGACACAGCCCCAATTACACCAATCAGAAAAAGAAGGGTAGACAAGTTAAAAACACACTCAACACCACAAAGAACAACACTACACTAATAAAAACTAGACTTGAACAACCAAATATGGATAAAGCAGAAGAAAATGACCTAAAAAAATAACTTTAGGAGAATGTTTCAGTACTTCATAGAGGAAATGAAAATTTCCCTCAAAGAAATGAAGGAAAAGACAAACAAAAAATTGGAAGAAATCAACAAATCCCTTAAAGAAAACCAAGAAAAAGCAATCAGACAGATGAAAGAAACTATTCAAGACTTGAAAATGAAAATAGGGACAATAAAGGAAACACAAACAGAGGAAATTATAGAAACAGAAATTATTGCAAAACAATCAGGAACCACAAATGCAAGCATAGACAGCAAAATACAAGATATGGAAGAGAGAATCTCCAGCACTGAAGATACAATAGAGGAAATAGACTCATTGGTCAAATAAAACATTAAATCTAACAAAAGCTTAACACAAAATATCCAGGAAATATGGGACACCATGAAAATACTAAACCTAAGAGTAATAGGGATAGAAGAAGGAGAAGTCCAACTCAAAAGCAGAGAAAATGTATTCAATAAAATCATAGAAGAAAAATTTCCCAGCCTAAAGAAAGATACAAGAAGCTTACAGAACACTAAATAGTCTGGATCAAAAAAAAGTCCCCTTGCCACATAATAATCAAAACACTAAACATATAGAGTCAAGAAAGAATATTAAGAGGTACAAAGGAAAAGGGACAAGTAACATATAAAGGCAGACCTATCAGAATTACACCTGACTTCTCATTGGAAGCTGTAAAAGCCAGAAGGTTGTGGTCAAGTGTTATGCAGACATTAAGAGACCATGGATATCAGCCCAGACTACTATACCCAGCAAAACTTTCAATCATCATAGATGGACAAAACAAGATATTCCATGACAGAACCAGATTTAACCAATACCTAGCTACGAACCCAGCCTACACAAAGTACTAGAAGAAAAACTCCAACCCAAAGAAGTTGACTACATCCACAAAACCACAGACATTGGAAGATCTCACAGCAGCAAATCCCCCAAAAGGGAAAAACACACACAATAACATCACCAATAACGAAAACTTAAATAACAGAAATTAGCAATCACTTGTCATTAATATCCCTTAATATAAATGGACTCAACTCACCTATAAAGAGACACAGGCTAACAGATTGGATACAAAAACAGAATCCATCCTTCTGCTGCATATAAGAGACACACCTCAACCTCAAAGACAGACATTGCCTCAGAGTTAAGTGTTGGAAAAAAAAATTCCAATCAAATGGACCTAAGAAACAAGATGGTGTAGCTATCCTAATATCTAACAAAATAGACTTCAAACTAAAATCAATCAAAAGAGACAAAGAAGGACATTTCATACTAGTCATAGGAAAAATCCATCAAGAGGAAATCTCAATACTGAACATCTATGCCCCAAATACAAGGGCACTCTCATAAGTAAAAGGAACACTTCTAAAGTTTAAATTATACATTAAACCCCACACACTAATAGTGGGAGACTTCAATACCTCACTCTCACCACTGAACAGGTCTGTCAGACAAAAAAAAATCAACAGAGAAATAGGGGAACTAACAGATGTTATGGTTCAGATGGACTTAACAGACATCTCTAGAACATTCTATCCAAACGTAAAAAAATATACCTTCTTCTCAGCACCTCATCGAACCTTCTCAAAAAACTGAGCACATACTAGGTAACAAAACAAACCTTAACAGCTACAAAAAAAACTTGGAATAATACCTACCATGTATTTTATCAGATCATCATGGCTTAAAATTAGAATTCAACAGCAACACTAATTTCAGAAAGCTCACAAACACATGGAAATGAAACAGTGCTCACCTGAATCATCAATGGTTCAGGGAAGAAATAAAGGAAGAAATTAAAGACTTCCTAAAATTCAAGAAAAATGATCCACTTATCATACCTGAATTTATGGGACACAGTGAAAGCAGTGTTAAGAGGAATGTTCATACATAGCACTACATGCCTACATAAAAGAAGCTGGAAAAACACTAGTGAGTTAACAGAACACACGAAAACTATAGAACAAAAAGAAACAAATTCACCCAGGAAGACTAGATAGAAGGAAATAATCAAATTGAGAGCTGAAATCACAATATAGAAACAAAGAAAATAATACAAAGAATCAATGAGACAAAGAGTTGGTTCTTTGAGAAAATAAAAAAATAGACAAGCTTTTATCCAAACCAATCAAAAGGCAGAGAGAGAATATCCAAATTAACAAAATCAGAAAATCAGACATAACATACAGACATGGAAGAAATCCAGAGAATCATTAGGTCATACTTCAAAAACCCACACTCCACAAAATTGGAGAACTTAAAGGAAATGGACAATTTTCTGGATAAATATCACTTACCAAAATTAAATCAAGACCAGATAAGCACATTAAACAAATTATAACTGCTAAAGATAGAAACATGCATCAAAAGTCTCCCAACCAAAAAAAGCCCAGGGCCAGATGGTTTCAGCACATAATTCTACAAGATTTTCCAAGAACTAGTACCAGTACTCCTCAAATTGTTCCACACAATAGAAACAGAAGAATCATTGCCAAACTCTTTTTATGAGGCTACAATTGCCCTGATATCCAAACCACACAAAGGCATTAGTAAGAAAGAAAATTACAGACCAATGTCACTCATGAACATTGATGCAAAAATACTCAATAAAATACTGGCAATCCGAATCCAAGAACACATCAGAAAAATCATCCACCATGACCAAGTCTCCTTCATCCCAGAGATGCAGGGATGGTTAAACATACGAAAATCAATCAATGTGATCCACCATATAAACTGAAAAAAATGATCTTTTCATTAGATGCTGAAGAAACATTCAACAAAATGCAATATCCCTTCATGATAAAGGTCTTGGAGAAAGCAGGGATACAAGAACATACTTAAACATAATAAAGGCCACAGCCAACATCAAACCAGATGGAGAGAGACTCAAAGTGATCCCACTGAAACCAGGAACAAGACAGGGTTGCCCACTCTCTCCCTATCTATTCAATATAGTTCTTGAGGTTCTAGCTAGAGCAATAAGAAAACAAAAGGAGAACAAGGGGATACAAATTGGAAAATAAATCAGACTCTCACTATTTGCTGATGATTTGATAGTTTACATAAGTGACCCAAAAAATTCTACCAAGGAACTTCTACAACTCATAAAGACCTTCAGGATTGTAGCAGGATATAGGATTAACTTGAAAAAAAATCAATAGTCCTCCTTTACACAGATGATAAATCAGAGAACCATAACCCTTCACAGTAGCCACAGTAGCATAAAATATCTTGGAGTTATTCACTCTAAACAAACAAGTGGAAGAACTGATGTGGGAGGTCCTTCTGTCAATGTGTTGCTTTTATTGGTTAATGAATAAAAAAGCTGGCTTGGCCTGTGTGATAGAGCAGAGTAGAGCTAGGTCTTGATTAAGATATTGTGTTTGTGCAGCTCATTTTAAAATGTAATGTATAATTAAGAAATATAGGTTAATAGATAGTCATCCATGTTAGTCAAGCTTGTAGTCATTTTGGTTAGGTTTTCTAGATGTACAGAGATGTATTTCAGATCGATAAGCATTCTTCAAACCTTTCAAAGACTACAGAATATGGCATTTAAAATGTTTAAGAACTTAGGGCTTTTCATGACAATAAGACACATCTGCTCCTAGCAGCACCAATTACTTCAAGAAGATGATGGGCATTGAAGACACTCCTCATGGAGTTCATTAGCCATCTGGGCAAGAAACTGCTCTTTCCTGGATTGCTTGATGGTATGCTGTGTGAACTGGACATTCAGGACCCACAGAGAAATGACTATTAAACTTGCCTAAAAGTGAGATCATTCTTCGGGGTTTTTGCCAGACATTCTTCAGGACACAGAAGAAAGTAACTGACAAACTGCCAATATAGGTGGAACTGTCTTTGGAATTTCCTGCTTTGTGGAAAGGTCTACCAGATACTATGGGTCTGTAGGCTGAAGGTGGATGCCCCAATGATAGAGAAGAACTTTGGGTGACTGTCCAGGCAGCGAGTTGTCTCTGTCAATTCTAGGGTTTTGGAAGCCGCTTACAATGCACTTTCTGTTTACTTAGGTAATATTATATCCTTCTGGAGTCTTTGATGGAGTTGAGGAATATATAGTTATAATTATAATTTTTAGTTATGATAAAAGATAAAGTAGATATAAATATTGTAACCATAATTCTTGTTTGATACCTATTTTCTTGTTTGTAATTTTACTATGTTAAAGTTAAAGTCTTCCTTTTTATTTAAACAGAAAAGGGGAAATGATGTGGGAGGTTCTGTTTGTGTTTTACTTTTATTGGTTAATGAATAAAGAAGCTGGTTTGGCCTGTGAGGTAGGAAAGAGTAGAGCTAGGCAGGGAAAACTTAACTGAATGCTGGGAGAAAGAAGGCAGAGTCAAGGAGAAGCCATATAATTACTGATGGAGACAGACATGCTGGAAGCTTGCTGGTAGGCCACGAGCTTGGTGGTAAAATATAAAATAATGGAGATGGATTAATTCTAGTTCTAGCTAGCAATACACTTAAGTAATTGACCAAGCAGTGATTTAATTAATACAGTTTCTGTGTGGTTACTTTGGGGCTGAGCAACTGGGAAACAATAAGCAGCCTCCTACAACAGAATACCTTTATGACAAGAACTTTAAGTATTTGAAGAAAAAAATTGGAGAAGACACCAGAAAATGGAAAGATCTCCCATGCTCTTGGGTAGGTGTTGGAGGAGGGGAGGCCACTTATTGGTTCCCAGCCTCCCAGCTAGCTTAGACCCAAAATAATCCCACAGAAAGTGTATTAATTAAATCACTACTTAGCCCATTAGTTCTAACTTCTTATTGGCTAGCTCTTACATCTTAATGTAATCCATTTCTGTTAATCTGTGCATCACCACGTGGCTGTGACTCACCGGCTAAAGTTCCAGCATCTGTCTCTGGTTGGGCTACATGGCATCTCTCTGACTCTGCCCTTCTTTCTCCCAGCATTCCTGACATTGTGCTCTCTGTGGACGACAATGTGGCACTCTTGACTTTGTCCACTTCTCTTTCTTGTCACTCTCAGAAGGTCTTCAGACCCACTTCTTTGGTGTCACCATCTTTTTGAAAGATGCCCAGGGAGTGATTCCTTCCCTTTTCTTGTCTCCATCAGAAGTAGCTCCCTCCTCGACTTCCCCTTCCTACTGTGCTTCTGAAAGCACTTTCTCCAGAGGTAGGTAGAATTAACATAGTAAAAATGGCAATCTTACAAAAAAAACCCCTGCAGATTCAATTCGGTGCCCATCAAAATGCCAGCAAAATTATTCACAGACCTAGAAAGAATAATATTCAACTTCATATGGAGAAACAAAAAACCTAGGACAACCAAAACAATCCTGTACAATAAAGGAACTTCTGGAGTCATCACAATTCCTGCCTTCAAACTCTACTACAGAGGTACAGTATTGCAAGCAGCCTGGTACTGGCATAAAAACAAACAGGAAGAGCAGTGGAACCAAATCAAAGACCCAGATATCAATCCGCATACCTACAAAAACCTGATTTTTTTTTACAAAGAAGCAAAAAAATATAAAATGGAAAAAAGAAAGCATATTCAACAAATGGTGCTGGCATAATTAGATGTCAACATGTAGAAGAATGAAAATAGGTCCATTATCTATCACCATGCACTAAAATCAAGTCCAAATGGATCAAAGACCTCCACATAAAACCAACCACACTGAACCTCATAAAAGAGAAAGTAACAAGTATGCTTGAACTCATTGGCACAGGAGACCACTTCCTAAATATAACCCCAGTAGCACAGACACTGAGAGCAACAATTAATAAATGGACTTCCTGAAACTGAAAAGCTTCTGTAAAGCAAAGGACATGGTCAACAGGACAAAACGACAGCCTATAAAATAGGAAAAGATCTTCACCAACCCCACATCAAACAAATACACAAAGATCTCCAAAATATACAAAGAACTCATGAAATTGGTCATCAAAAGAACAAATAATCCATAAAAAAATGGGGTACATACCTAAACAGAGAACTCTCAACAGAGGAACCTAAAATATCTGTAAGACACTTCAGGAAATGATCAACATCCTTTGCCATCAGAGAAATGCAAATCAAAACAACTCTGAGATTCCATCTTATACCTGTAAGAATGGCCAAGATCAAAAGCACTGATTACAACTTATGCTGGAGAGAATGTGGGGTAAAAGGAACACTTCTGCATTGCTGATGGGAGTGTAAACTGGTACAGCTCATTTGGATAACAGTATGGTGATTTCTCAGAAAATTAGGAATCAGCCTACTTCAAGGAAAAAGGAGGTGGGGAGGAAGTGGAAATTTTTAATAAATAAATAAATTTTAAAAAAGGACCCAGCAATACCAGTATATACCCAAAGGTTGCTCAATTGTACCATGTGCTCAAGGTACATGTGCTCAATTATGTTCATGGCAGCATTGTTTGTCATAGCAAGAGCCTGGAAACAACCTAAATGCCCCTCAACTGAAGAATGGATAAAGGAAATGTGGTACATTTACACAATGGAGTACTACATAGCAGAAAACAATTACATTTTTAAATTTGTGGGCAAATGGATAGATCTATTGAGTGAGGTAACCCAGACCCAGAAAGAAAAATATCATATGTACTCACTCATAAGTGATTTTTAGACATTTAATAAAGAAAAATCAGCCTACAATTCACAATCACAGAGAACTTAGACAACAGACAAGATCTCTAGAGTAAATTGGGAGCATGGGGACCATGGGAGAGGGCGGAAGGGGAGGGAGGACGGGAGGAGAAAAATATATAGCGCAATAAAAGCAATTTTTAAAAAAAAGAAGAGTTCTAAAATTAGAGGAGCCTTTCATGTTTCCAAGCATAGTTCTACGTAAGGACCACCCTGCCTCCTCTCAGCCTGTTCCAAGACTAACATACTGGGAATAGACCTGGAGCTAAACTCTTAGAATTTCCTACCAATGAGGAACTTCTTTTGCTTCCTTCCACATTCCTTGTGTATGCATCCCCAGTAACTCTAGGGTGTAGGGTTTCCCTGAAAACTCTAGGCTAGGGACCTGTTGCCTTCTACCCAGGCCTATACCTGCAGATGATGTGTGATATTGAATGCATTGTCTCTGGTACTAGGTGGTCTTTTTCACACTACATAACACATGGCAACCTGTGGGATATTTGTGTGAGTATGTGTATATGTGACCATGTAAATTCTGATAGTTATATTTGAGAGATCTGAGGAATATATGGCAAATAGATGGATAGGGGATAGATGGATGGAGATAGATAGATAGATAGATAGATAGATAGATAGATAGATAGATAGA